TACCCCGGGGGATGTTATTTCGGGCAGAGCCGTGCCGGATTTGCAGGCTCTCCGATTCAGGGACCCAGAGTTCTTTGTGGCCGGTTCGTTAAGACAAGACCCTGGTATTTGGAATGATGTTTTGGCAGAATCGCCCGACAAGGAATATGTTCGGGCCTGGTTGCATTAGGGAGTTAACCTTTAGGATTTCTTCCAACCATTTGAGAGTCAATATAGGGGTAGAAGTTGTTGTTCTGATATAACCCCCGAGATGTATTTTTTTAATTCTCCTCTTTGTCGAGATCGTGTGAATTTTATCAGCACCACTATCACTAAGCGCTTAATAGAGGGTTCCATCGACCTCCTCGGTAAGATCCAAGAAGTGGAGCCACCGAGGTGTATAAACGCTCCGACAATAGAGCCTAAGAAGCCTTGTCTGTCTATGAAGGGCCCTAACCTGTGGTGCAAGGATACGCCTTTTAATTTGGTCCCTTTGGGTGACATTGTCAAGCCTATAGAGCAAGGCGGTTTCTTCTCGGGCACGGACGACTGCCAAGGATACAAACAGGTTTTCTTATCCAAGGAATCGAGGACCTTTTGTGGCTTCGAGTGGGTGGGTTTTTACTTCGCTGATGCTACTCTGCCTTTTTGTTTTAAAAAAAGTGTGCATATCTTTTCGTCTATTGGTTTTTGCCTTTCGACGTGGCTCAAGAACAGAGGGATACATCCTGAAGTCTGGATAGACGATCGTTTTATAGGGGAGTGCAAGTCGGGTGAGGGGCAGTCATGTTAGGTGTATCGTAATAGTTCATTATTTTGGTTGCATTCCAGGGTGAGCGGGATGTGTGCGAGGAGAGTCCTTATACCAGATCTCTTCGAGCCTCATATGTCGTATGCTACATACAGTCCAAATTGGGCTTTTTCGTCAATTTGAAGAAGAGTCATTTGCAGCCATCTCATTCGATGGTTCATCTCGGATTTGGAATATGCTCCAAATATCTATCATTTTGGATTCCGGAGCGCAAGAAAACATCCTTCGCTGAGGTTAGAGAGTCAATTTTGAGGGAGAATTAAGTCGTTCTAAAGCAGATGCAGCGATTTGCGGGCAAGGCTCAAAGTTTCAGTTTGGTTTTTCCCAGCCGCATCCTTGTTTCTCAGGGAATGTTTCTCGTTCTCAGCCACTCTTGATGATCTCTCCCCTGCGTCCCTGCCTCCCGAGGTGCGGGAGGAGGTGTCCTTTTGGCGATTCGTCGACTCTTTCTCGCAGCCCGTCCCTTGGAAGCAAGAGCGCCACCTGACCATTGCATTATCGGCAGACGCATCGGGCTACAAATGGGGTGGTACGTTACTTCTAGGCAGGCCTCCGAGCAAAATCCAAGCCACTCGCAAGGATTCTCAGACCTATTTTTGCCCTTTCTTTAGAGGCAAATTTTGCGCTTCAATTGAGCTGGGTCTCATCTAAAGATAACCCTGCCGACGCTCGGTCAAGAACGACCTCGAGGGCAGACTCTCATTTGGCACATCAGAACGAATTTGGGGGTCCTTCAGGGTTTACCTTCGACTTGATGGCCCTGCCTTCAAACGTTCCGGCGCGCAAAGATGGCGTCCCGCTCAAATTCTTCTCAAGGTTCCCCGTGCCCGGTTTGGCGGGTATAAAAGTTTTGCTCAACAGTGCCCGCGGGGCGAACATCTGTATGTGTTTCCTCCCTTCGCCCTCATTGCACCCCTTGTTAGGCTGTTCCAGGAATGGGACGAGGTTTTGGTCACAATAGTGGTGCCGAAGCATGCTCAACCCAGGGTCTGGTGGCCCCACTTAAGATCCTTCGCACAGAGGGCTATTAAGCTAGCTGAAATAGGCCAAGCAGGGGTTTGGAGCACCCCTCTACAACCGGATGCATTCCAAATATCAAGGGGCTGCCGTTCGAGCTTTGGGCTCTACAGTGTTATTTTTCCAGTAGTGGGGTACCACGAGTCCGCACGTCCCCTGTCAAGCCGCAACGTGTTCTCCTTGTATCTGACTCCATGTTCAGGGGGTTAGAAGATTTTGGATGGCCCCGCGCTTTAGATGTACAGATCTCCATTAACAGAGGATCAAAAATGCCCACTCTGTGTAGAAGCCTGGTCTTAGCTTGCTGCAACGGGCAACCAGAGGTTGCTGTCCTTCATGGAGGCATAAACGACCTTAGTTGATCGACCAACTGTTCGCAAGGAGCACTAGAAGTGATCAGGGTATTTCGGGCAGCTGCCACACGAATTAGGGGGGAGTTTCCTGGCTCTGTGTTCGTTCTGTCTTCAGTATGCCAAACAAAAAAGGTCAGGGTCAACTCCTCAGTTGCTACAGTCAATTTGGCTTTGAAGGACATCTATCACGAGACTGGCTGGCACTTCTTCTCTAGCGATCATATCGGACAGTCTGACCTGGCAGACGACGTGCATTTGTCTATGCCAGGATATCTCAAGATCCAACGTAAGCTGCGTTTGTTTCTACAAGCCATTTTGGGCTTGCCACGGGGGGTCGAAATACCATGCTAATCAAGTCTATACAGCATAGGCCAAAAAGAGAGGGTGACACAGAACCAATGCATTGCTGGCTGGAGTGGATTTAATTGACGTTTCGAGACAGTAAAACTGCTCTTCTTCAGGAATCTATACAAGTAAAAAAACAACAATAGCAAAACTTAAACAAAACGAACTTAAACGACAATAACAGAACTTAAACAAGGGTGATAACTGTGGTGATTGAATCAGGTCGAAAGGGTTTATGAATTTGCTCCAAAGGCATTAGAAGGAAGGGTAAACGAATGGTGTGGGGACTTACCAGGTTGGGTGCGTGTGTGTGTATGTGTTGACTATTGTAGAAGTGACTGAAAGTGGAGTCTGTAGCAAGCGGAGAGTAGGAGATAAGACAGTGAGAGTGAAAAGGAAGATGACAATGGACAATTAAGCCACAAAGAAAGTGGACAAAGGAGGAGCTCACAGCCCTAGGTGTCAAGCGGGAGCTAGGTAGGATAGGGTGTGTATTGTTGTTTGATGTTCATCCCAGCTGGTTCCACTGTGTTGAGTTGGTGCATCCATTGTATTTCTTAGGGTTTGCGAAGTTGGGTGGAGTTGGTAGTGATTTGTTCTATACATGTAGCTAAAATTTGCATGTGAGAAATGTTGCGGTCTGGGAGATTGAAGTGTTTGGTGGTGACTTGATCTTTCTTATTGAGTGAAGCATCAGACCTGTGACCCCTGAAGCGAGTTTTTAGAGTGGTGCATGTTTCGCCGATATATTGCATGTTGCATTTGGTGCATGTGAGGCAGTAGATGATGTTTTGTGAGGTACAGGACAGGTGGCTTTTGATAGGAAAGAGTCTCCCTGTAGAACTGCTGCAGACTTGTGTGGTATTGATAGTGTGTTCACACCAGACACAGCGTTTAGCTGTGCATTTGAAGAATCCGGCAGTTGGTGTATCTGTGGGTTTAAGTGACGAAGACACAAGCAAATTATTCAGGCTTGGGCTCCTTTTATATGCAATCATGGGTGGATGTGGAAAGCAAGACTTCAGTCTGGGTGTGGACTGAAGTATGTTGAAGTTGAGGAGAAGAGTGTTGGAAATATTGGGGAGATTGGGGTTGTATGGCAGACATAGAGGGATGCGGGTATTTGCATACGCCTACATTGTTTCTGGCACACCAAAGTATTTTGTGTTGCTCCTTCTTTTTTTTTTCTCATCCCAAGATGACTGCCGTGACGGCCAGGCTGGAAATTGGATGCAGCGCTGGATCGGTTCTTGCGAGAACATCACAGTACTGGATACCACACGGAGGGCTTGGGACTGGACTCAGCAACTCCGCAGGACATCCTAACGTTTCTGGTCGATCACGATTCTAGAGGCCGCACACAGATTCACATGGTAGGTTGTACAAATTTGGGGAAACATGGAACCTTTTCTTGTGGATGTCCGCTCAAATTGGCTGCAGGTACCGTGGTATAATCATGTAAGTTTATAAGACTGCGCGCTTTGATCTGTTCGACGCAAATGTAGCTTTTGCAAATAAAGTCATGATAAATATATATGGATATTTTGGTTCGTTCTGGGTGTTTTTTTTGGGGGGGGGGGGGTCATCTATGCCCCTTCCAGGTTTGGGTTAGGTTTGGGTAAGGTTTGGGTGGTAGTTGTAGGTTTCCAGGGCTCATAGCGGTAACAAGGGTCCATGTTTCGGCGAAAATCTATCTCCCCCATATCTAAGACCTGTAGATACCGGAGTCGGACGGAAACAAAGACGGTGGTGCAAATAGGTTACTATTTGCACCTCCCTCGGCGTTGAGAGCAGCGCAGGAGTCTACGCAGTCTCGAGTATAGCAAACGGGCGGTGAGGGGCATCTGGACGTGAAGGTCGAGTCGGAGCAGAGGTCGGAGGGGTAGTGGGCGTCAACAGAGGTGAGACAATAATGCCGTGCCCAGCTTATCGGTAAGTCCGTCCTATCTTTCCCTGCCCTCCCGGCCCTGATTTTCCTTATATTGCTTTCCCCTGGCTTCGGTTTCTATGCTCAAACTATCTCCCCCATATCTAAGACCTGTAGATACCGGAGTCGGATGGAAACAAAGACGGTGGTGCAAATAGGTTACTATGTACATCAGATTCGAACCAGCCAACCGATCCCGTTAGCTCGGTGGTCGAGTGGTAAGACATCTGCACTAGAAAGCAGGAGGTCGTGGGTTTGAGTCCCACCTAATAATAATAAAGTGCTCATACCAAAAAAAAAATAGTCCTCTCTTTTGATGTTTTGCTAGGGCTACAAGGAAAAAAAGATCTGTCCATTTTCATGACGGGTGGTATATGGGTGAAGCTGGGTGAGATTTAAAGCTCTTTCTTCAGAATTATCTACATGAAGGATTAGCAACTTTGTGCAGGTTGTTTGTACATTTTCCAAGTAGCAACAACAAGCAACATACCAAAAGAACAATCAACACTACAACTCTTAGAAATACTCCACACAAACACGAATGAAAGAAATAATGAATTGCCCTTACTTTCCCGTGGACTCAAAGTGCAGTGACATAGGCAAACCAGCAGCATCAGCAAAAGACAACACAGCCTACAAGATAAACACTTGTTCATTAAGTTATCAATGTAGGCAATCAAAAGTGGACGTAGTTAGAAGTGGAAAATGTATGTAGTCTTGAAATGCAGTATCAAATGAAAGGGGTCAAAAACTATGTGAGCGGTGTGCCAGTGAGATGGAATATGGAATATTTATTTATTTATTACATTTGTATTCATAACTTCTGGTACTGAAACCAAGGATTCCCAAAATAGCGCCCTACACACTGTAAAGCTTGCAAGCCTGAAGAAACTTGTAGAGAGAAGTCGATGAGAAGATATTACAAGTTTAGAGGTGGATGGAAAACCCGGAAGAATATTCTGGGGAAAACCCAAGGAATCAGGCAGGAGCTGAAAACCCAATCTACATTTTGGCCCAGGCGGGATTTGAACCCGGGTCACTGCAGTGGAAGGTGAGGAAAGTACCGCTACGCCAACCTGACTCTCCCAAGTGTTTTTTTTTGTGTGCTCTAAGGACAGCTTTAAACTAACTGTCTGTACCTAACATTGAAAATGTGAGTTCTCTATAACTGATACCAAATCATCTATATTTTGAACCCTAACCCCCTATAGTCCAGCGGATATGTGACAAAATATCGATGAATTGTGCGCTTTTGCATAAAAGCGTGAAACTTGGCACAGATGTTTATATTCATGCGAGAAAATGTTTTAGATGTGGAGTCATCGTAAATTTACCCTTTTAGGGGCGTGGCATCCATTTAAAAAAAGGGGGGCGGGACTTGTCGTGCCCGCAGTGAAAATGGTTTTTCCCACTTACAAAAGCAGGAAACTTCACAAAGACATAATTATATAGATTATTAGTGTTTTCCAGATTCGGAGCCACCACAAAAGTACCTTTTTGGGGGCGTGGCAGCCATTAAAAGAAAAGGGGGGGGATAATTATTATGCCCACCTTGGAAAACATTGTGCCCATATTTCATGAACGAATAAAACATCCCACAGACGTTAATATTCATGAGAAAAAAAATTCCAGATGTGGAGCCATCTCGAACACACCCTTTTAGGGGCGTGGCAACCATATAAGAAAAAAAGTGGGGCGGGGTTTTCATTATGCCCAACATGGAAAAAAATGTGCCCACATCTCATAAACGAATGAAGCTAATTCCCACAGACATTAATATTCACGAGAAAAAAAAAGTCACACGTGAAGCCATCGTAAACACACCGTTTTAGGGGCGTGGCAGCCATAGTAAAATGGGGGGAGGGGGGGAGGGGGTTAGTCATGATGCCCCTATAAAAGAAAGTCATGCCTACCTTTCACTAATGGATTAAACTCCACACGGACAATATATTCATGAAAATCTTTCCCTTTTTTTTGTAATTTGAAGCCATCACAAACTTATCCTTTTAGATGCATGGCATCTATTTTTTTTTAAATGTGGGGGGGGGGGGGGGGGGGGTGCTACTAATCATTTGTCCACCATCGAACTTTCATAAATGACTAAACTTCACACAAACTTGGTGCAAGATAATAAATTCATATGTAGAGCCACAGCAAACTCATCCTTTTAGAGGTGTGAGGGGCCTACTCACTGTGCCCACAATTGCAATTTTTATATTTTGTTGTTGATTTCTTATAATGTTGATTGGCCCATAACCTATATTATTTGGTAATACAATGACTTACACCAAAGAGCATGGGTAAGTACCGGTAGGCTAACCTGTGTTATAGGGTTCATCTGCATCTGCATCAATACTGCTCAACACTCCTTGTTGCGTTGCAGTTGGAGTAAACCGAGCAGGGTTCAATGTGTGTACTTGCACCTATATTATCATGCACATCTAAATTCCAGAGTGATTTCATAATTACAAATACACAGCACACAATGGTAGCCCTAAACTCTAACATTTAACATTTAAGGGCCATGGAAATCCTTTTTTTAGGGGGGGGGGTGTAAAATCCCCCTACCCCCTACGCCGCATTGACAGCAGATTGGGTAACAACACGATGTACTCGCCTCACAAAGTGGTGGACACGTCCACTATGACTTCACATTCAATGAATCTGTGTACCCCCACCACACAACCCCTTTTGGTCTGTCAGAAAAAAAGGCAGGGGAAACAATGTATTTGAAGAAGTAACACTAGTCTTTCCAGGACTAACTGAGGCACCCCAGTTTATACCCCAATTCAGATATTGCTGCAGTTGAAAGGTTAACAGTAACTGGGTTAATATAGATGAGGCAAGAATGCATAGTGAAAGAAAACAAAGGGTTTGCCAACAGTAACTTCCAACTATAAAGGCGGCCCTACTCCAACACATTAAACAGCTATATGGGGTGGATTTTATTATATGAAACGCGGTCAAAATTTTCCACGTTGTGCATATTGAGTACCCCCCCCCCCATTTTAAAAATGGACGCCGCGCCTCTAAAAGGGTAGATTTGTGATGGCTTCACATTGAAAAAAAAAGAAGATTTTTATGAATATATTGTCCTAGTGGAATTTAATCCATTTATGAAAGGTAGGCACAACTTTCTTTTATAGGGGCATCATGACTACCTCCCCCCCCCCCATTTTATTATGGCTGCCACGCCCCTAAAAGGGTGTGTTTACGATGGCTCCACGTGTGATTTTTTTCTCGTGAGTATTAATGTCTGTGGGAATAGCTTCATTCGTTTATGAGATGTGGGCACATTTTTCCCATGTTGGGCATAATGAGAACCCCGCCCCCTTTTTTCAATATGGCTGCCACGCCCCTAAAAGGGTGTGTTCGCGATGGCTCCACATCTGGAATTTTTTTTCTCATGAATGTCAATGTTTATGGAAAGTTCCATTTCTCTATGAGTGTGGGAACAATATTTCCAGGGTGGGCAAAATGAAAACTCCGCCCCCCTTTTTTCTTATATGGTTGCCACGCCCCTAAAAGGGTGTGTTCGGGATGGCTCCACATCTGGAATTTTTTTTCTCATGAATGTCAATGTTTGTGGAAAGTTCCATTTCTCTATGAGTGTGGGAACAATATTTCCAGGGTGGGCATAATGAAAACCCCGCCCCCCTTTTTTTTCTTATATGGTTGCCACGCCCCTAAAAGGGTGTGTTCTGGATTTTTTTTCTCATGAATATAAACGTCTGTGGGACGTTTTATTCGTTCATGAAATATGGGCACAATGTTTTCCAAAGTGGGCATAATAATTACCCCCCCCCCTTTTCTTTTAATGGCTGCCACGCCCCCAAAAAGGTACTTTTGTGGTGGCTCTGAATCTGGAAAACACTAATAATCTATTTTTTTTGTAATTATGTCTTTGTAACAAGTGGGAAAAACCATTTTCACTGCGGGCACGACAAGTCCCGCCCCCCTTTTTTTAAATGGATGCCACGCCCCTAAAAGGGTAAATTTGCGATGGCTCCACATCTAAAACATTTTCTCGCATGAATATAAACATCTGTGCCAAGTTTCACGCTTTTATGCAAAAGTGCACAATTTTTTCACATATCCGCTGGACTACTAGGCCCTTTTTCCTAGGAACCATCCTCAATCCTCCGAAATCTTCCAAAACAGCCAGGATGATTTTGGAGGATTGAGGAGGGTTAGGGTTGCACAAGTGATCAACGGCATCTTTATGACAAATCTCTTTGTATAGTCCGCATGGGAAGGAATGTTATAATGTCTGCGTGAATACATGTAAGTGCCCAGGAACAGAACATTTCAGAGGAATTATACAGACTATATCACCTGAGATATCACCTGACTATATCACCTGAGATATCATGCTCCGAACAAATGACTTGACTCGACTCGGGTCCATAATCAGACGACTTGACTCAACTCGAGCGAAGGCTAATAAGATTCAAGTCCAAAAAATAAAAGCAAAACTCTGCAAAAAGTATTTGCAATGACTTAAAGTGCAAAATTTATGTTCACATCACATTGCGAATACAGTACAGTACAGCAGCCGCTTGTCATGTACAAACATACAACGTGTCACAGACTCCCACCTCATGGTTCTAGAACGCACAAAATACTATCGAGAAACCGGATTTTAAACACATTTTCCAATTTGTTGTTGCATCATTGGCTTTAGGCGTTTTTTATTTAGCTCTTGGATTGGAACGCCAGCTAAATTTATGCCCTGCTTTTATACATTTTGGTAAAGAGTGTTCAACTTTTTGTGACTCAACTTGACTCGAGCTAAATAGTTGACTCGACTCGACTCCACTCAACCTTTTTGACCTAATGACTTGACTCAAGTCACTCCTTTAAAATGACTCGACTCTACTCAAGTCACTTCTTTAAAATGACTTGACTCACAAAAATCATTGACTTGTTACAACTCTGGCCTGGGCCAACATGTGGTTTAGATTTTCAGTGGGTTTTCCCCAGAATATTCTTCTGGGGTTTCCTCCCACCTCTAAAACTGTAATTTCTTCTCATTGTCATCTCTCCACAGGTTTCCTTCAGGGCTGCAATCTACAGTGCCTAGGGCATTTTTGAGGAATCCTTGGTTTCATTACCAGAAATGATTAAAAATTATAATAATGATTAATAATTAATTACTGAAGCCTTTAGACAGTCCAACTTTCAAGAGAGATATTATATGCGCGGTGCAGAATAGAATAGTTGGCTGATAACATTGGCATCATGTGACCACATACATCAAAGTGTTACGTCATGATTGTCAGGCGTAACCAATACGCCTGACAATCATGACATGATAGAGCTGTCTTGAAAGTATAGCTTACTGGGATCAGTGACTTCATTTCCAATCTTGATATCATAAGTGCTTTATATAAAGCAATCAAGAGATGCCAGCAGAGCAAATGGGTGGTATTCCAGGATACAACTTACCCTGAGTTCCTTTAGGCAAAATGTTACTTCTGCATCAATGCCCACTGTATAATCATCAAACTCACTTGGGCTTAGAAACATCTCCGAGTGCACAACCTTGTTAGGATCTGTTGACGATAGAAGATTGACCTCATAAAGAATGCAAATAAAACTACATAAATTTACTATGAAAAGTAGTGGTTGAGGGGCTACTTGTGCGCAGAGAGCATGAACTTTTCAATCAGAATGTTCAGAAATATGAGCATCACAGATATTACGCTATAGTCCAATGCATGTTGTATCATAAGCATGAGGTTCTTTATCCTCAAGGAGTGATTCAAATCGAAGGTGGTGTGTTTCATTTGTTTTTTAACTTAAGGTTTTCTTCGTGTGATGTAATAATCAAAGCCATATGTGAAAAAATTAGAAAGTTATGCATGTTTTGTGAAACTGCAAGCCTTTCACCATATGACAAAATGACACTCCGCACCTCAATTATTAAGCAGTTTTTCACTCTTTTTGTAATGGTTAGACTGTGATTGGTATTGTGATGTGAATGTGGTGGTGGCTGATGTACCTGGTTCATCTTCTACATAGTTCTTGAAGCTGACCTGTTGAGGAGTTACGCTCAATGTAATCTCCTCCTGTGACGTCTGGAAGCCACTCACAACATCAATCAGAGCCCTAGACAAACAACACAACTTGTCATCAAATCTCACCTATATCACAGAAAAACACGATCTTTCTACGTCACATTTGGATTTCAGTATTTTACGCCAAATTCAAACATCAAATTTCTACCATCTTATTTAAATTACCACAGACCAATTCTGTATTGTACCTGTAACAATTTATAATACAGTTATTTATAGTATGTTTGACTTTTGATCTGAACTTCATCATTCTCATGTTCTTAAACAGCAATTGCGGAAACCTTTTTGAAGTTATAGTAAATACCCTTTGCATGCCTTTGGCCCCCGGGGGCAAGTTGATTAGGACATGGCATCTGTCATCTGTTATTTCCCTGCAGTAAACACACTGTCAAGAATCTCTTTTCAGAAGATGCGTGGTTCTGAAAAGAACTGGTTGGTTTTCAGAACCACACATTGTCTCAAAAGAGATTCTTCTGCATGGTGTTTCTCAGAGATGAAACTGGCCTTGGCAACAAACATCTGAAAGTGACCTTGGTTAGGAGCCACAGCGTCGCGCAGCGCAGTGCAGCACAGCGCAGTGCAGCACAGCGCAGTGCAGCACAGCGCAGTGCAGCACAGCACATCAATGTCATAGGTCAGTATTGAACCTTTTCTCCAGCCGGAAAGCATCTGATCAGTGTTGGTCTAGGTGTTTTACCCTTGTGCACATTTTACGTGCCATTTTCATTGACTTTTCTTGGAAATAATAATTAAAAAAAACATTTTGTAGAAAAATCCTTAAGAAATCATTTTTGTGGGATGGTTAAAAAATCTGAAATTTCATTGGAAAAGTTTTAAAAATCTGATTTCAGATTAAAATCTGAAAAGTTTCATCTCTGGTTTCTGCAAGCCCTCACTAGTTAACGCTACCGCCATGAAGTTTTAAATCTTATTTACACCGTCAAGAGTTTTACTATGTCCAGCATTGTGCCCTCTCCCAAAACCCACATCTAGTCCCCATTAGCACTTGGAAAAGAGAATACTTGCCAAAAAACATCCAAAATGACTCATTTTTGATGATAGATTCTAAGATTTCTTGCACACGGGTCCCTCCTTTTGAACAGTATTATAGGACATATCCTTTCCTGATTTGCAATTGTGTGGCAACTTGTGAAGCAAACTGCCACATTTCAGCTGCTCCAATGCGGAACACAAATGAATCGTATTAGACACTGCAGAAGTTGAATGATTGAAATGGGTTTTTTTAGCACATGCAACATAGCTAGTGCTGTCCACAATCATGACAATTCTGTGACATTTGAAACATTGAAGTAAACCTTCATGTACATGTTCTACACCTGACGCATGCATTAAGATTAGCCATTAAAAAAAAAGGTTAGTGCCAACCGACCAACCCAATTTTTTTTTATATATTGGCTACAAAATAACAGAAACAAAAGTGTAAAACAAAATCTCACTTTGAATTAGCCACAATGTGGTTAGGACACAGGTCTTTGGAGAAGACAGCTTGAAGGGTCTCTGTTTCTTGGTAAGTCAGATTATGGGTCTTCACAATACCTGAAGAAAAAGGGCAGTTAAATGAATGAAAACGCACATTTTTCATAAAGAACATATTACATTTATTTCATGAGTTAATTTACGAGCGTCAGGACTTGATTATGTTTTGAATATTGCACAAAAACAGCATTCCAAAGAACTGCCATACCAACTCACCTTTATCACGTTTGAAGTTGATACATTATGTATTTCTTGAGATATCTGACTGTACTCATCATATTATGCACACTAGTCCGCAATGGGTAACAGTTCCACATATTGCAGTGCTTAGCAGATACAGCCTGGTTCATGACGTTTTTAGATGATATTTGCCTGTTCATGTAGGTTGCCTGAAACTTTCATGACTTTAATGAAATACGGAGTCCTGTATGTTGAGTTACACTCGATTGATGTAAGTAAAACCTTGGTCATTTGTCTCTTTGCAATATATATACATCTCCATGTACAAAACAAAACAACCTGAGCTTCCTTAGACACTGTACAATGTACACTATGAATGTCTGATTTGTAGGGAACCTACCATGCTTGCAATGCAGAAGGAAGACTAGTCGGCAATCCTTCAGATCAATGTACACCTGACATTTATCCACTGTTTTCTCCAATGTGTAGAGCGACTTGAAAACTGTCAGGCAAGACTACATCGTAAAGAATCAAGAAGTAATTGCTGCCATCAAACTGCTATTAAATCAAACCCCAAATTTGCCAAACAATGCCAACATGTGTGGTGGAAAGAGCGATCACACAATGCATGCAGTAGCAGCAAATCAGAAAATCCATACAATCAAAGTATTTGATACTTTTGAAAGACATAAACTCAAAAACCCAGTTTTGTGGACCATGACTTTCTTTGAAAGAATTCAGCCAAATGCCGACATTTTATTATGGACAGATCTATTTATATCTGTTTAGGGGTGCTTAATCAACCTTTTGGGTGCTAATACAGTGCTACTGGTCTCTCTCAATTATGAAGTCATTTCCTACAGACCACCCACATGCATCGGCATTTTGGAACATTTTCACTGCGCACTGTGTGCTTGATTGCGTAAAATACGCAGTTGCAGCATTTGCTGTAACATACGGGACGGCGTGAACAGACTGTTGTGTCGTGTAGACTACATACATGGTTACACGAAACTGAGCATGCACAAAAGAGCCATCGATGTGAAAGAAGAACTTCAAAACAGTTGACTTGTAGCACTAGTACAAGGCTGTAGCTGAATTATTTGTGAGTTTCAAGTACAAAACACTGAGCAACCGCTGAAACCGGCATCAAAAGAATACAGCAGGTTCGGCTCAAGTCAAGAGGAGGGGGGGAGGGGGGGGGGGTGCTGTGAATGGATGGCGATGGCATGCGCCCCTGCTCAAGAAGTCTGAGAGGCACGTTCTACTAGAAAATGTTAAAATCTAGATGCTTACTGCTGCACTCTAGCACATGTAAGAGACTTTTGGATTATAAGTAAATCATTTTGGGTTCATGATCACCTTGGTTGTACGGTCATTGTAATTACTGCAAATTTTGAAGTTGATTTCTCACACATGAAAGGGTTGAAGGCATACTGTACACGTACAATGTGAGTAGCACATGCATCTTGTTTTCTTCAATTCATTCAACATCTCAGTATATACCTCAGGACATTACCTTCATTGTTATTCGGCATCTAAAGCTGTCCTCTTCCTCTTGATTTGTCTCCTGTTGATTATACGTCCCATTAATATACGACAGGAAGAAACTTGGGGCAAACAGGAAGCAGGCATAGGCTGACCTTGAAGAGTTCACTGTCCTCAGAGCCAGCTGATGCAAAAAGAACACACACATAATCAAGATAGCTCGTCTCATGGATGAAGTGACACTTTAAAGTAAATTACCTGGTGACATTTTACATGAAAGTAGCATGTTCCTGCTTCCAGCTACATGTACAATGTATGTACCTTCCTGTAGTACTGTTTATGTAGGATTTCTAGGAGGAAGTTGGATCTTTTCTCCACATCATTTATAAGTTGAATCTTGACCACTGATGGCAGGAAGGTACATGTGTACATTGCTGCTTTTGCAGCTGAAGCGAAGCCTGAATGTGTAATGCAATTACAGGACAAAATTTGACAATATCGTTCTTTGCTCCGTCATCAGATGTACATGTATAGTTACTGCAAATTCCTTGAGAATATTTAAATGAAATTGAAGCCAGGATATATCACTTCTGCTCAAGCAAGCAATGATACTATTAGTATTACCTAAGCAAAGAAATTCAACCTGTGTCAGGGCCTAGTCATAATTTACACTGTACAACCTTAATGACCTAAGAGCCAAAGTACTAATATGAAATGATCTGATTGAAATATTCTTAGTTTCTTACCCCATGATCTAAAGGTTCGATGTACAAGTCTTCTCCAATCTTTGATAAACAGTGGATACTTCTTCCAAATACTAGTTTGGAAAACAAAGGGTAAAATGAATGACAAGGTTTTTAAGATTATAATGAAAACCATCTGTTTAAAGTTTCTGCTGACTATCTGGACAAAGATTTCATGACAATCTAATTGACAGTTGATTGATTGAAGTGACATGATTACTACAGGTGATTCAAATCATATCCAAGATAGCTTCTTGTGATAGTTTTAGTGGAGGGAGAAAGCAGATTCTTTATTTCCAAACTGAACAATGGTTATTGATTTCACCGTATGTTCCCATTCATCTCACAGCCATGCCAACGAAAAATGTGAAGAGTGAGGTGCTGCAAGCAATGTCCTCCATAATGATTGAGTATAGTTTGCAACTTGGCGGGATTCAATGACCACTAGGCCTTTACAAATATACCTCGGCGCTGTAATGGTTAAAAAAAAATGGTGGGGAACTCTCTGATCAGTTGAATGGACAGGCTATTCATGAATCAAGCAGACCACGAGCCATGGAGCAAATTGGTGGATGTTTAAAGATATTTTCTTTAGCTTGTGTCACAAAATATGGAAGGTTTCATTTTTTTAATAGAAAAAAAAATGGAAACTTGTAAAAATTTTAGAGCCATGCTGATACTTATTATGACTATTTGAAATTGACTTATTTTACGTGGTAACAGATACATGATCCAAACAGTGGACTCCCTACCGTAGCACCTATCTCCTGGATCCCGAGCTCTCTGGCTTGCCTCGGGCAACAATGTCAAAGCAAAACTCTCCACCAACTTTACCAGAATGTTACTTTCAAATCCAAAGACTTGAATGTGCTTTATATTTTAGGAAAATGATTGCTTACTCCAAGATCTAAGAAGAAAAACAGCTGTCATTTTTACAGGTACATCTCTGCAACCCCTTGTCCGATTGTATTCAATTTCGTGTTGGAATTTAGATACGCTAACATGTGCAAACGAACCTTGAAATTACACGAAATAGACGTCCAAAATCGGTAGACAAATGTGAAGAAAAACATAAGCGTTCTCTACGAGATTGAAAAGGCCCTCGCGGCTTCGCCGCTCGTGCTAGTCTTTTTATGTGTCGGCATCCTATCATATGCGTCACATGAAGCAGACAGGTAGCTTGGAGGGCTCCGAAAATTTTGCACGCAAATGACCCTGGGTACTTGTCCAGGGTCATTTGTCAGGGTCACTTGTCAGGTTAAAATCTAATTTCTACACGTTCGTATGGGTCTTCATCAACGGCAAATTTCGTCGAAATGACACATCCTGAACACCCGGGAAGGCAAATTTAGATTCCTAGGTGAGTACTCAACATATGTACGAAAGGGGGTCAACGGGGGTCAGACAAGTCGACCGTTGAGACAACTCGACTCGGGACAAGTCAACCGTTGAGACAAGTCGACCGTATGTGCGATAAATGGAAAGACAAGTCGACCGTTCAGACAAGTCGCCTCGCATGTTTTGGAACCTAGTTTTGGGGATAGTACCGGGTTTTTTTTAAGGCGTCTGATCGCCATTTGGGAGTGATGACATGATAACCATGATATAACAGAGCCGATATAGCGCAGCGTCGGATTGTCCATGCACATCGCCGTTTGTTTTTTCTGGACCTGTGCGCCCATTTGCTGGTCAACTTGTCCGTACCGTGCACGGTGCCAGCCCTGTGCGCCCACTTATCCCATCCCCGGTCGGTCAACGTGGCCGTACCGTGCACGGTGACATCGTTTGTGCTGGGCCTGTGCGCCCACTTGCCGCGCCGGTCGACGTGCCCGTGTGCCGGGCCGGGCCGCGCCCGGTCACGTCCTCGCGGGCGGGGTGCACCAGCCCGACGCGCGCGACGGCCACCGGATCGGAGCGCCCACTGTACATCGAGTATGCCCACGCCGCGCCCGTGATCGGTCCTGCCATGCAATTTTTTCTGCTCCGCGTATGGGTCATTCCGTGTCAAATCAACACACTTTTGGACCCGACCCTCACAGATTGAAACGATATTTGGTGTGATGATTGGCCTATATGAGAAACCCCCAGAACTGAATTTTTTTGTAAATTGACTCGTTAGTTTTTGAGATACGGGTCAACGAACTTTTGACTAATTAGCATGACCTCCGAACTTTAAATACTTGTATCTCAAAAACTATAGCGCCTACAAAGCCAAGCTGTACATCATATTAAAGTTCTTTGAATGGCCTCCATTTCATAAAATAAAACCAAAATCGTAGCATGAAGTGCAGAGAAAATGCGTAACAAAATGACCTTTGACCTCGAATTACGAAAAACAATATGCTTCAAATTTTGTAATTTTTTTTCAAATGTTAGTTAATGATGTCAGCAACAATCTTAAAAAAAAATTGGGATGGGCGCTCTTAAAGTTTTTAAGTTATGATTTTTTGAAGAAAGCCTGTCCATGAAAAAGTATGCATAATATTAAATGTACATGTACATGTACATGTATACTTGTACTGTGTACATGTACATGTGTACATTTTACCTGTGCATCATGTTTGCCCTTTACAACCATATAGTCTCAACTCATATATATTAAGGGCAGAACAAAATTACTTATAAAAAATATGTTATACCGGTCTACGTTACTTTCATTTTTTGCTCAACCCAAGTCTGTGTTGCAGTGTTCATCTCCTCGGCGGAGATCTTGTATACGCGTCCTGTTTCAGTGAACGGTTCCACTGCTGTTAGTACATCCTTGCCATGAATTACAAGTGTGTCTGGTCGATAGGGGAACTTGAAAGATGGAGATGGCCCATGGGGATGAAGGAAACTCAGTTCCACTTCTTGGGATGCTGGAAGGATCTCCTGAACACATGCTAGCCACCAGTAACAGTCATACAGCACTGTAACATATCCCTTGATATCTGCAAAACCAATACATGCAGTTTGTCCATGGACTTGGAGACAAACTGGTTCCTCCCTTGAGTCTGAGGAGGAGGAAAAATCATGCACCTTAATTTTGTCTTTAGACATCGGACAAAAACAGTGCAGCTTTTGTGTTCCTGGAATGGTACGTGCAATTTGGAATCTTTGCCTGAGAATATCCGCTTCATTCTTGTATTGCTCTGTTGTTGCAAAAGCGAAGTCAGTACTCTTTCTCTGAGAAGTAGCAAATTCATACAGCTGCCAAGGGGTCATGATCTGCTGATCCAAAGGTCGCTGGGGACTAGCTCTTGCTGCAAGGCGTTTAACAGTTTAACACTTGAAACCAAAATTCATACAGTGGATGATTTTTTGGATTCCTTCATGGCTACTCTCCGCAAGTTACTACATCATGACTTTATTGCCAAACAGCAGAGTCACTTTCTCCAGCACACTAAAGACAACATGGAACCAAGCGAAATCTTGGTCATTGCAGATTTTGCAGAAAATTACAGTTTTGTAGTTCAGGATGCTGCCCAGTCATTCCACTGGAACAATCTACAGGCTACAATTCACCCCTAGGTGTGCTACTTCAACAAGAAGGCAAACTTGATGAGCACCTAAGCTTTGTCGTCATCTCAGACTGTAATACCCATGATACTGTAACAGTACATCTGTTCCAGAAATTGCTCCTTCAATTTCTCACTAATAAGATTGGAAGTTTCAAGAAGATATTGTACATCTCAGATGGTTGTGCTGCTCAGTAGAAGAACTTCAAGAATTTCATCAACTTGTGCCATCACGAAGAGGATTTTGGTGTACCAGCAGATTGGCATTTTTTTGCAATCTCCCACGGGAAAGGCCCATCTGATGGAATTGGAGGAACTGTTAAACGCCTTGCAGCAAGAGCTAGTCTCCAGCGACCTTTGGATCAGCAGATTATGACCCCTTGGCAGCTGTGTGAATTTGCTACTTCTCAGTCAGTATTGACTTCGCTTTTGCAACAACAGAGCAATACAAGAATGAAGCGGATATTCTCAGGCAAAGATTCCAAATTGCACGTACCATTCCAGGAACACAAAAGCTGCACTGTTTTTGTCCGATGTCTAAAGACAAAATTAAGGTGCATGATTTTTCCTCCTCCTCAGACTCAAGGGAGGAACCAGTTTGTCTCCAAGTCCATGGACAAACTGCATGTATTGATTTTGCAGATATCAAGGGATATGTTACAGTGCTGTATGACTGTTACTGGTGGCTAGCATGTGTTCAGGAGATCCTTCCAGCATCCCAAGAAGTGGAACTGAGTTTCCTTCATCCCCATGGGCCATCTCCATCTTTCAAGTTCCCCTATCGACCAGACACACTTGTAATTCATGGCAAGGATGTACTAACAGCAGTGGAACCGTTCACTGAAACAGGACGCGTATACAAGATCTCCGCCGAGGAGATGAACACTGCAACACAGACTTTGGTTGAGCAAAAAATGAAAGTAACATAGACCGGTATAACATATTTTTTATAAGTAATTTTGTTCTGCCCTTTGAGTTGAGACTATATGGTTGTAAAGGGCAAACATGATGCACAAGTAAAATGTGCACATGTACATATGTACACAGTACAAGTATACATGTACATGTACATGTACATACATGTACATTTAATATTATGCATACTTTTTCATGGACAGGCTTTCTCAAAAAATCATAACCTAAAAACTTTAAGAGCGCCCATCCCAATTTTTTTTAAGATTGTTGCTGACATCATAAACTAACATTTGAAAAAAAATTACAAAATTTGAAGCATATTGTATTTCGTAATTCGAGGTCAAAGGTCATTTTGTTACGCATTTTCTCTGCACTTCATGCTACGATTTTGGTTTTATTTTATGAAATGGAGGCCATTCAAAGAGCTTTAATATGATGTACAGCTTGGCTTTGTAGGCGCTATAGTTTTTGAGATACAAGTATTTAAAGTTCGGAGGTCATGCTAATTAGTCAAAAGTTCGTTAACCCGTATCTCTAAAACTAACGAGTCAATTTACAAAAAAATTCAGTTCTGGGGGTTTCTCATATAGGCCAATCATCACACCAAATATCGTTTCAATCTGTGAGGGTCGGGTCCAAAAGCGTGTTGATTTGACACGGAATGACCCGTATACATTTCCATTAAGTCGAGCTGTCTCAACAGTCGAGTTGTCCCGCGTCGAGTTGTCTCAATGGTCGACTTGTCTCAACGGTCGAGTTGTCTCAACGGTCGACTTGTCCCGAGTCGAGTTGTCTCAACAGTCGACTTGTCTGACATTCTACAAAAGTGTGTATGTCGGATCGATTTCGCCATGTTCAAAATGCCACAACAGCGTGGCGTTGTATTACAACGCCACGTTCACGGGTCTATCCAGAGCCCTGTCTGCCTCCTTCCCCGGCCAGGATGATGACCTAAAGATTTTTATTTTAACTTAAGAGGAGATTTAACAAATAATATGGCTAACGACTGCGGCACTCGGATAACCTACATGACTTAGGCCTACCTTTAATGTTGCTTCCAGGTATCATGCACTTCATATCGTTGTTTAGCGAAAACTAAAACTTTGAAAAAAAAAACTCTCACTGTTTCAATCCTCAATGCACATATAGATACATACACAAGTTTTGCGCTCCATGCGCAAACAAGCGAGGGCGCTTTTTGACACATGCAGAAAAAAATTGGTACACAAAATCAAAACCATTAATCTTCTACCGTCGCGTACCGGCCATTGGCAGCGCCGCTGCTGCATGCACACCATGCACAAAATTAAAACAGCGCGATTGTTGTGCTAGCGCCCTCTAGCGAATCGATCATTAGCATCCCCCGGATCCCGAGCGGAGTTGTAGGCATACAGTCTTCAGCAAAATGGTAACATTTGTGATCTTATTTATTGGTTCATCTTCATCCGGCAATTGTTACAATCATTTGAAAACATACACATGGTTACGCAGATCTTTTTGGAAAATGATAGTACAAACAGACCTTTTTTCTTGGGGATGAAAGTTTGCTTGCGACACGCCCCCGGTCTGCGTGGTCTGTATGAATGTCGGACACTTCGCCCCATTTCCACGTCGCCCCATGACATGTCACTTCGCCCCTAACCACTTCGCCCCATCCCTACTTTGCCCCATTCCCACATCGCCCCATCCCCACTTCACCCCATTCCCACATCGCCCCATTCCCACTTCGCCCCATCCCCACTTCGCCCCATCCCCACTTCGCCCCAGCCGTTACGTGTAAAACAAAATCTCAACTATTTTTTTGGCTTAAAAAAAAACCAGTTTCAACAGATTCACTAATTGCTAACCAACGGAAAAGAATTAGCCCATTACCAAATGAACAATTCATAACCAACCTCTCAAGCTAGGCTCTCCACATACAAACTTATCGCGGAAATTCACCTATGCAAATTGGGGTCAACACGCCCCTCATTATGACGTCAACGTTGAGTTCGTGCTTGCGCTCATGCCATCAATTTCAGCCCGACTCGCTTCAGTTTTATGAATGAAATCATTATGCATCGGAGAGTGCACATGCCAGAAATTTACAGTAGAAAAGCTCATGATATCTGCTTTCTTTTGCCGAAGAAAGCATCAAAATCGATGACCTATTGCTTGAGTTTTGACAGTTGAAACATTTTTTAGCGTTTTTTTTTAGGAACCAAAACTTCTTATTTTTCGAGGGAGTCCATCTTTTTAATCCTAAATTTCTCTCTTCTCGAATTTGGTTCGGGAAAACCGGAATTAGTTCCATATAGAACAGGTTTTCAGCTTTGATATGGTGTGGCACATGTGGGTGGCCGGTCTGATACGGCGATGGCCGCGAGCAATATGCATAAAAATTGCTCGCTAAAACTGCCCAAAATTGCGAATGATAGTGAAGTAATCACGTGATATAAACACGTGCAACGTGCAGGAGATATAGCTCAGTGAAAGGCGGTTACGAAGATTAAAGGGATCCCGTTTGATTAAAGGGATCCCGTTTGATGAAATGTGTGTGTGTCTCTTTTTTTTCTGTCCCTTTTACCCTGTATCCCGATGCAACGGAGTTGGGCGGTGGGTTGGGGTGGGGATGGCCCGCGGGTGGGGTGGGGGAGGCCTGCAGGTGGGGTGGGGGAGGGGGAGGGGATGGGGGGGGGGCGGGGAACAAAGACACAGTGGGTGGAATATGCACATTCTTTGGTTGAATGGCCATTGCACATATCCCAACACCTTGAGGGGCGGGGTGGGGTCCCCTGGGTGGGGGGAAAGGAACGGGAGGGGGGTACTGAGAACCAGGATAATGGAATATTTCCTGTCTTTCATTTCTTACACCTGCACCATATCAGGACCCCATGGAAGGGGAGTGCACATAAGGGGTTCCCGGTGGAGGGGGGGGGCGTGGGGGAGGATGCCTCGTGAGTGTAGAGGGGGGCCGGGGTTAGAGTACTCAAAACCAGGAAGCTTAAAATCCGGGGGGGGGGGGGGGGGGGGGGGGGGGGGGGGCTCAAAAGGAGGAGGGTGGAATTTCATATTTCCTTTTCTTTTTTCGGTCCTTGCAACATATCCCGACCCTAGTGGGCGATGGGTGGTGGGGGCCCCCACCAACACAGAAATCTTGATATGCAAATTAGGTAAACAGCGCCGCTCATTATAGCATCATCATGAAATTCTTGCTTACGCGCATGCCATCTACTTCGGCCAATTTTCGGCCAGACTCCTTCAGTTTTATGAATAATATCACTGTAGGCCTACATCGGAGGATGCACCTGCCAGAAATTTACATGCTGAAAGCAACAGAATCATGTCCGCTTCCTTTTGCCGAAGACAGAGTCAAAATTGTTAAATGAAAGGGTGAGTTTTGACGATTAAAATATTGTTTTAGCGTTTTCCTTTTTGTAACTCAAACTTCGTATTGTCCAAGGGAGTCCATCTTTCAATCCTGTTTTTTCTTCCTTCCAACATTTTGTTTGAGATCAAATGAATTAATTCCGAGTAGTTGAGTTTTTTAGCTGGCGAATGGTGTGGCCTAAGTGGGTGGTCGGTTTAATAGTGCGATGGTCGCGAGCAAAATGCATGGAAATTCATCACTGGAACTGCCAAAAATTGCGAATGATTTTCAAATGATCACGCCGGTTATATCCGGCCCGCCGGCACCGCGCGCGTTCTAATAAAAACCCAAGATTAATAAAATAATCGGTTACACCTCTATGTTCCGACACCCCTATGTTCCGACTGCACATATTCCTATTCCTAGCCCTAACCCTAACCGGGAGTAACACAATCTAGGTTGTCGGAACATAGGGGTGTCGGAACATAGAGCAGTCACCAAATAATCAAGATGTTTTGTTTTCTGATAAATGATGTGACTTTATTATTGGGAATACCACTTTCTTTTTTTCCTTTCCCCTGCCCTGGATACCATATTCCGACCCTGGGGATGGGGCGGTGGGGGGGGGGGGGGGGGGGGGGGCGGAGCGTGGTGTTCAAACCACGCCAAGAGGGCTGAAATTGTTTTTTCCAACAAGTGAAGTTTGTCTTTTAATTTGGTGCAATGACGTTCCCGACCAGACTTTCTTTTACTGCGATATCATGGACACAGCAGCTACATCCAAAGAGGGATCTGATGCCACAGCCAACATCCTGATGAAGCGCCTGGATGAGAAACGCCAAGATCGTTGGACAGAGACAGTTGAATCCATTGACTTCACACACTCCAGCCGAAAAGCCTGGCACACCATCAACCGCCTCACAGGAAGGAACACATCTAAACCTGACAAATGCCCCGTGAGTGCTAATGCAATTGCATCGCAACTACTTCAGAATGGTCGTTTTACCAACCCAGACCGAAACTTCTCAAGACAGGTCAGAAAGGAAGTTGCTGAGCTATGGAAGGTTGACGGTGGGGACGTGAACATCACCAACCCCTTCACCACAGAAGAACTGGTCGAAGCACTGAAGTCAATGAAGGCGGGTAAGGCCCCAGGACCAGACGATATCCACCCAGAGTTCCTCTTACATGCAGGAGATGCTGCAACCGAGTGGTTACGTCGGTACTTGTCCACCTCGATGGAAAGATGCAAAATCCCCAAAATCTGGCGCAAGGCAACTGTCATCGCCCTCCCAAAACCTAACAAGCCCAGGGACGACCCTAAAAGCTACAGGCCTATTTCACTCCTGTGTGTTCCATACAAGCTGCTTGAAAGGATGATTCACGGACGCATCAATCCCATCATTGATCCCCAGCTGCCCCGAGAACAGGCTGGCTTCCGCAAAGGACGATCCACCGTGGATCAGGTAACCCTGCTCACCCAGGACATCGAGGATTGCTTCGAGGCCAAAGAGACAGCTGGCGCTGTACTCATAGACCTGACCGCCGCGTATGACACTGTATGGCACCGTGGGTTGACTTTAAAACTTCTACGGATGTTGCCAGACAGACAGATGGTACACTTTATTGTGGAGCTGATCTCAAACCGCAGCTTCGTGCTCAAGACCAGCGACGGGCAACAAAGTAGATCACGCCGGCTCAAAAATGGCGTTCCACAGGGATCCGTCCTGGCTCCAATGCTGTTCAACGTATACATCCATGACCTCCCTGATACAATCTCTAAGAAGTACGGATATGCCGACGACCTGGCCATCCTGACAACACACAGAGAGCGGAAGATGATTGAAAGCATCCTGAGCCAGGACATGAGCACCTTGGCCCTATACCTGAGACAGTGGCGACTGAAGCTGAGTGAGGGTAAGACAGTCTGTACAGCCTTCCATCTGAACAACAAGGAAGCAAAACGTGAGCTGGATGTGTACATCAACAAGAGGCGCTTGGACTTCCAGACAACAACCACATATCTTGGTGTCAAGCTGGATAGGACACTCTCCTACCGACAACATCTTGCCGGACTCCGAGACAAGGTCATGGCACGCAGTGCTCTCATCCGTAAACTCGTGGGCACAGGATGGGGAGCAAGTCCATCAACACTCCGCACCTCTGCCCTGGCACTTGTGTACGCGCCGGCTGAGTATTGTGCACCAGCATGGAGTAGGAGCAGACACACCAGCCTGGTAGATGTGAGCCTTAACTGCACCCTGCGCACAATCACTGGATGCTTACAACCTACACCAGTTGAGCAGCTCCCTGTGCTTGCAGGCATCCCACCAGCTGAGCTCCGTAGGCAGGCAGCAAGCATGGCGCTGGCCCGACGCGCCATGGATCCAGATCACCTCCTCCACCAAGCTATCAGCAGGGAACAAACACAAACCAGACTCAAATCCCGGCGCCCCTTTGCCTCAAGTGGAAAGGATCTATTGTCAACTATCCAACCCACTGAGTCAAAGGCCCACTGGATGGCCAGGATGTGGACACAGAAGTGGCAGTCATCCCCTAACCATCTGCATAGATACATTCCTGTACCATCCAGAAGTTGCCCAGGATCTGATCTCCCACGACAGGCATGGGTTAAACTAAACAGGCTCCGCACCGGAGTCGGGCGTTTCAATGCTGACATGTGGAGGTGGGGCCTATCCCAGAGCCCAGCTTGCGAATGTGGAGCGGAGCAGCAGACTGCTGACCACATCATCTCCGAGTGCCCCCTCTATCGCCCCCCAAATGAGTACCAAGGCCTGATCGATGTTGATGTTGATGCAGCAACCCGAGAGTGGCTTCTCAGCAAGCACCCAGA